ATACTTAACGTAATTCACTTTCCGATTTGCCTCCGACTCCGACTCCGACTTCCGACCGCTACACATTCTCAGCATGCGAAATTCTGTAGTGTCCTTACGATTATCAGACACATGAGAGATGGCCACACGGTACTAGTACTCGTTGCAAAGAACACGCGACATTCCAAATTCTTTTAATTATATTGGTTGCACTAAAAACAAGTATCTTTGAACTCGCTATTTGCATTACCGATCCGACGGCATCCTCGGTGCCATTTTATCATTTTCTCTCCCACGGCCACGAAATCCACGTACGCCTAGCCACATTCCAAAGCCTTGAAACGTTTATTTCTTTGTCTCACGCTTTTAGATCATTTCACTCAGCATCGCCTTTGCATCAAGCATTGTCTAATGCCTCGACGATATAAACATTTTCTTATCGAAAACGACCAAGCAGCTTTTCATCAACCGTAAATTTTTCGTTAAGGGGCCAGTTCTGATCAATCAAGCGCATGTTGTGCGGCACTGAATCTTCTTCACTACCCAGCGTAAATTAAGAGATACTCAGGTCTCAACAGCCGTACTTGCCTCTCGAATCATCGACTGATGCGTCGGACCCATGATCTTCGCCGTCACAGCCAAAGTCTCAATGTCGGCAACTTTTCGCTCCTTTGTATCTCGGTGCACTAGTTCTTCTGACTTAATGGAAGCGATATCTAGGTCATAGATCGCCATGCTTGGACTATACTCCCACAAAAGACAGTTCTCGAATTACATGTATCCGTCACGACAAAAAGAAACCTACACTACAGCAGCATAAGTACTTCCAAGCCTCATTCTAGCAAAATAGGAAATTTAACTGACTGTCCATGTAGACACAAAGTTAAGCACTTCTTTAACTTCTATACCAATATGTATCTTCTTTCAATTGATGTGATTTAGCTAGCACGACAGCTATCATAGACTATTTCTTTGCCAGAGCCAGTAGAAATTTAATTGCGACGTCGGCTATTACAAGTTGGAAATGGTATAGGCTGAAAATTACTCTTAAAGTGCCACACACAATCACGCGGCTCTAATGATACAGAATTATGAAAACCGGCACTTTTAGATGGATTGATGGGCTTAAGAGTCCGCGATTACATTGCGATTTCATTTTTCATAGGTTTCGCGTCGCACTCAATCAGGATTTCGATCAAAATTAAGCTTGACGATGGTACTCACTCATTCGATTTGTAGAAGCTACAAAAGGTGAGAGCCGTGAATAGTGATCTCAACTTTAATGAAGCCATCACCCTGAAGAGCAGCTAACATGCTCGGCTACATGGTAATCGTTCTTCTGAATTACGCACGAACAATACCCCCTAATTTTTTTTGACATATCGCAATTACTACATTTGATCTGGAAGCGTTTGAAGCTCTGGCCTACTTAACACGTAGAGTGGTCCTCAATGTCGAAGATGCCACGAACAATTTCACAGAAGGAGTCATACCGCATTTTGAGTTCAAACTAGCTCTTAACGTGACTATGTATCGACTCAAAATCATCAAGAAAACGCACAGAGAATGTATTATTATGCACCATTTTAGTCTTCTACGAATTCAATCATTATCTGAGCTGTCAGAAACCGCTACACAACAGCTCTATAGTCAGACCATATGCGAGGATCACACATCTACGAAAACTGGAACAATGTAGTCAATGAAAATAGCATACGCTACGCGCATAAAGACAAATTCCATACACTTTTTAATTTCAAATGATGAAGTGTACAGAGGTCAATTAAATCGACAGCCAGTATACGGAGTTTTGAACCTAATGAATTGGCAGAACATTGTCATCCTTACATTTTGTTGAGATGAAACTGCTTTGAAGAATTTCGCTTTAGCTTACGAGCAGTTTCAAAAGTCGAAAATGACGCATGAGGTTTTGTCTTGTCTTTATTTTCTCACTGTGCTGCAGAGCATTTGGGTCGTGAAATTAGAACTAATACGCTCGTATCACAGCTGGCAAATGTTCGACATTGCTCCAGAGCTGATATCTTCAGTAGATCGATTTAAGTTTGAAGGTGGAGATTCACACCGAAAAGCAACAAGCTGTAGATGATTGACAACACGATTTGCGGCAGCGCTAAAAGAATTTTCTCCTCTTTTTCCATCTTTCTTTATCAGCTTTTATAAAACTTGGTGACTAAATGGCTAGAAACGGTTACAATTGACAAATGATCATGACACAGCGTCCGAATGGTAGCGTTTTTCGCCATATATGTCTGGACGCGTGAAAGTCATTTGCCGAAAGCCTTAGACAACTAGCACATCTCGATTTATTGCACACTTCAAATGGTAGCAAAGCGATCAAAATAGCAGGAAAAATGCAATGTACTCATGCTTTAATTATAACACTTGTAAAATCCTTGATTTATTTTCGCTTCCTCGCTCAATTTTTTTGGAATTGTACATAATAGTTATCTGCATGTCAATTGCTAAACGGCATAACTATTGTGATAAAACCTTATCAGTTTTCTTGCGTATGTCAAAATTTTCTGTTCCGCTAGCAAAGTGTTGAAGGTAAAAGCGTCAATTTGACTCTATTGACATTGCCATAGTCAGCTCGCCAACCGAATATCCCCTGCGAGAGATGGCCAAAGGATGGATGTCATTTGTTCAAAAAAACACTGTACTTTTCAACATGAAATCATCATGACCAGGGTTCATGACTGCTATCCGCTTGATATCGAGACAACTAGGACAAATCTTAACAAGAATGTATGGGTAAGCTGGATCTAATGATACGCGTCAAAAGACAGCAACAATGACATGCACAGAAGCTTTCGTTAAAAAACTCGCAATTGCAAGGATCAAGCGTTAATTGCTTAGCAGGTGATGGCTGCATGATACTGTCAGTTGTGCACCAAACGCTATGTGGTACAATGCGCAGCTTGATGACGCAAGTCAAACATGGCCATATCATAGCGTGATTTTTATTACACATTGCGTCCCGCATGTTGGTACTCACAGTACAACACACATCATTCTAAAGGACTATAAATGATTCTTTGCAGACCTTTGCGTTGCTCCGATACTTGAACGACCATCTTAAGGTCGAGTATGTCGCCATCGTCGTCCTTAAATGTCGCTATTAGCAAGCCACAATTGGTCAGTTGGCTCGACTGAATTCCTGACACGTTGATTTCCGGGATCTGTCAACATTGTACAATTAGAAATCATTTCAGACTTCTCTGCATTTTGTTGCAACGAACCGAGAACTGGAAATGATTGTCACCGCGGGAATAGTTCTTCGCCTCTACTTGACCTAGTTGTGAACACGCACAAAGCAATGAATTCTGATCGGTCAAGGAATAGCAATCACGTCTAATTTATTCTCGAAATTCGCAGAGCTAAAAACAATCAAAAGGATATTGATAATATGGCGATTGGTGACGGAGTCAACAAGGTACTGTAGCGAATTTTTGGCAAAAATTAGAAAGAGAATTTTGCAAATTAGTAAACGATCACGACAACCGCAATGTCCCAGACGCCGTTGATAACAGGGGTGCTCAGGCAAAAGTCCACCTCTAAATGAAGCTCATCGGTGAGAGGAGCCGGATTTGGCGAGATGTCCACAGCCACGACGTCTACCCTTCGCTGCGAGTTCTCGGCGTTTTGGTCGCTCATTGGATTCGTACGTAAAATAAATTTTGTCGTAATGCTCCATATTTTGACAATAGTGCCCATATTAGTGAATTTTTGGTATATACCAAATAATGTACAGCAATAAATGGTAATTTGGTTTAATTTTGGTCATTTTATAAAGATTATATGTTACAGATAGATTTAAGCTACAGGAACCCACACTTTGGAACCGGATTCCGTACCCCTCATTACAATTCGGGGCCTTTTGGTCGGTGGGGCCTCCTCCCACCCAACTATCACACACCCAATTGGGTGCGGGCTGGTAGGGCAGTCACACCACAAGGGTGTGATTGCTCGTCCACTATAGTGACCTATCTCCGGCGTCCTTGATTCGGATCCTATGGATATCGAACCAGGTACCTCCCAGTACCAGAATTAACGGTACAGAGCGCTTCTTTATGGCTTCACTTCAGCTGTTAAAGCTGGCTAAACCGATCAGCTTGCCGCATGCTTCATAATCCAATGCTTACAAATGGCTACAGATTCTCCCCCTCTTCCCGTCAAAGGAACAAAAATTTAAGTCGACGGCGAAAGTATCTAAAATACATGAATAAAGCTCCAGTAATGAGCCACTGAGCAAAGAGGCTTCTGTGCATCTTCTACAGAAAAAGCTTTGACTTAAATATTGGCGTTAAAGGTTGTGTTTGTACACTCCACCCAGAATGAAACCGGCAGCCTCTCTAGAGACTAAGTAGTGAAACTGCTCTAATAAACCAAAAGGATATATATCTGGATAAATCTCATTATAACACAATGTTTTCTCATATTAAATGATTAAATTATCTGTACTGCTTGCGTGAGGCTAACAGCTCACGTGACTCACAGATGGTGTCAACCGTCTTCTTTGATACATTTGATCTCACTACGATTACAATACGATTTGATGTTCATTTCGTACAGTCAGACAAAATCGTAGCTTGCACAACCACACAGAAGCGTAGGGAGTAGGTACTGGGTGTACCATGTGACACCCTCCACCGCCAAGATGCGAACCACACGTGGGTCCACATTAATCTCGTCTTATGAATCAGTACGCAAAAGGTATACTTTGCTACGTGCACAATACACTGCCAGCTCCTGCTAGCATGTTCGCATCGGAAGACTTTCCCACCCACCATCAAATGGCTTAGATAGCCTTTCAAATTGGTGCGGTCCTTGCGGCCGTCAACTTAAAGCCTATTTCGGTGGGAGACCGAGATGTTCTCAACTGAAGACGGTCGTAACGATTCTTTGAGTCCTGGCCTGACAACTCCACCCTCATTGAGAGATAAACGGCATAGCCGTTCGCTGGCGACGACGCTCTTTTTCACCTCTGCACAATTCACTAACTCCGTGCGCGTTCTCTACGACATGCGGTTATTCACCACGGACGTCACCACGACGTCGAAATCGTCAACAATTAATCAAGATGTCTAATCAAGATTAGCTCTCCTGTCTTCAAGCTCAAAATTCGCAACAGCTATTGCAGACTTGAATGCGATGCGACCAAGGCTTTAACAGATCTGATGTTGCCCGACTCGCTGGGGTGGAATGTTTACATGTTCAAGTCTATGCGAAGAGTATTTCGTTCAAGAGATCTCGAATATCGCTTAGAAATTATTCATCGAGATTCTGCAAGAGTAATGCCTGCGCTTAGAATAGCAGCGGCTCGGTGAATTTGTGATCTTCAAGGGGCAACCTTGGATAATAGAAGTTGACAAACGTAATTCACGCAGTGGGAGACGAAACGCCGCCGTGATACCCGTCTTAAGATTTAGTGAAAGGATGTCCATCTTCAGCGTCGTCTTATCTCTAATTTGCAAAGGACAATGCACGAGGCGAATATCGAGTTAAAAATCATCACATTAAGTTCTAGAAGCTAATCTCCATATTCGTGTCCATTATGCACATGTAACAGTTCCTATCGCTAACCACAGCCCTGGCATAATCTCCGGCCCAATTAACTGTCCCACGTAGAGTGGTTCAAAACTAATTTATCAAGCAGTGCCTGTGGAGGCTCGGGCCTCCGCGGCTGGTAAACGTGAATTCTTTTTGTTCTGTTGAAATGTGTGTGCGGCCAACACTGAGATGGATCAATTGTTTGTCTCTTTGAGTCACACTACTCACTGGGTACCTCCAACGTATTGCTATTGTAGGCAGAGGGTGGATCAGCTTCCCGGGCGTAGTAATGACGCTGCTTTTGTAATGAGCCAAACCTTCTTACAAATGTTGTGTAAATCACATACTTTGTGTGTCTAAAATTAACTGTACATCCTGTATAATTGTATACCCCCTTTCAAATCTGTTGTACCAGAGTACTTATCGGATTATGTGGTTGAAAGTCCATTGGCTATAATAATAAATGTCACTTTACCTTTCCTCCTCCCTACATAAGTCAACGGCCCGCTGGAGGAGTCAGAATCCACGCTGGAATAGACGATAATCACATTTCCTGATGTGACGCGAATAGCGATAGATTGTGATTTTTGTCCGACTGTATAAATTTGCTCTTATCGCAATTGCACTGAAGGGTAACGTGTCAAATTATTTTATAAATGCACGAATATTTGATGTGTAAAGAATTACCTTTGCCGAAGTGATGATTGGCCTTTTTCAACGAAAATTCATATATTTAAGACTTCAACACTTTTGGTATCGAACAAGCAAGGGACTAAATTTCCTTTCCCGTGATTTGCATTAATACTTTAAAATTGAAATTTCACGCACACTGGGTGTTCGCTTTTGCGCGATGTATTCAAATGACAAAAGATGTGAGTCCAACGTAAATATCATTATGGTAGGAGAGTTTCATCTCTTACACTTCTGTTCACTTGTGTAGAATACGCTTTGTATAATTGAACAAAATCACATCTGTGTAGCTGTGCAACAGTCACATATACTATTGAGAACGATTGAGTTCCGTAAAGGAAACATCCGTAAGACACGTGGGCTTAAACCTCAGGTCAAGCAATACATATAGCTCTAAGCTTTAGCCTATGTTGATCGAACGAGCGATACCCTGCGCGTGGGCTATTACAGGACCTGGACTCGTTGATATAAGACTTTTTTTCGTGCGAGGTGCACAGAAACCCGTTGAAGAGGATGATAAATTTAGCTCGATATTTATCTCATAATTTAATTTTTATTTGCCAGTACATTATTTAAAAGGTTGTCAAAATCAACAATAAATTACCCAGAAAATTATAATATATTATTTAAATCAATAACACTTTAACAAGGTGGACATCATGAATTAATATTTAATTAAAGCATGAAAATTATTGAACCATTAATAAGTCTTGAGTCTCTTTTCTCTGTACTTATTATTTTGCATAATTCAAAAAAAAATGGTTGTGGCAGAAAAGATTAACGCCAACCCGACGGTGTACGCGGTGGCCCCATCAGCTCGCAAAAAATATGAAATGCGTGAGGAGCTAGACGAAGATGCTGCTGATCCTTTCGAGCCTGATGAGGTCTTTGGTGCGTTAGCATTGCCAAGCTAGTAAATATCAGATCAACTTATTCGAAAACTACTTGTTTGAGCAGAAATTCTTCGGCACATCAATGACCCAGAGCACCCACTGACGTTGGAACAGCTCAAAGTCATGTCGCTTGAAAATATTCATTTGGATGATGTTAACTCGCGCATCAAAGTCTACTTTACACCTACCATCCCGCACTGCAGGTAATAATCAGCAATTGCTATCAATTTTGGTTGAATGAATCTGTAAGAGCTGTTAATGGCAGTATGGCGACGCTGATTGGTCTGTGCCTGCGGGTAAAATTGCTGCGTTCACTACCATCGCGCTTTAAGGTAGACATATTAATCACACCAGGCTCTCATTCTTCGGAAGCAGCGGTGAACAAACAGCTTAATGATAAGGAGCGTGTGGCAGCCGCACTAGAGAACTCGCATCTACTCACAGTCGTTAACAAATGTATCGCCAACACGGACAAGTAGAACGACACTGTAAACCTACGGGCTTAAGTAATATGATCTTGCTACTTTCCTGGTATTGCTTCAATCATACATTGTTACTGCTGACACGCATCTTTCATGAAAAAATTGTATGTTGGAATGATTGAATGCATGCGATAAGGATCATAGATTGTACTTACCACTAACGAGCCATGGCAGCAGACACGATTGCCGCTTGAACATTAAAGAAGAGGCCCGAAGAAAAATCAGCGGGACCCATAATTAAGAAAAACATTCTTGTGTGGTTTTTAATTTATATCGCAAATTTGACAAGCCTGGCGTGACGAAATTTAAGAATAAGAAAAACAATTTCGACACCAACATTTCATGGTATCTACCGCGCACGTCTACTCCTATTAGTGTAGCGCGGTCTGCTAGCATCCAAAGCCACGGATTTCTAGACATATGCACAAATAAATAGTCAATTTGGTAGTCGGCCAATGTATGAGTAACCTCTCGATTTACCTGATACAAAACGCCACCTAATCATTGGTCAGTACGTCCCAAAGACCGTCAGATGCCATAACAATAAACTCGTCTTCTCGATAGAGCTCGTAAACGGTCACTTCCGGGTCAGCAATCACAAGTTGGCTTAGCTCAGCATCGCCAAAAGCTCGAGCAACAGCCAAGCAGCCGTTTACACGATCCACGCCTTTCACATACAAGACCATTCCTCCATCTCCATCTCTCGTCGAAAAATCTTCTCATTTATTGCCAAACTGGCGGAATGACAGGCAGGTGCTGCAATTAGATAGAGAGTGGGAAATTAAATATATAAAAATAGGGAGAATAAAAAAAATGCCCAACTTTTGCCATATATAAAAAAAGAGAGAATAAAAAAAATGCCCAACTTTTGCCATATATAAAAAAAATATC